TTTCCCAGCTTTGGATCTGGCTTTGGATACTAACATCACCTCAGTCCCCTCCCTTCTTTTAGTTTCCTTACCTTTCAAAAGCAACACAAATCAACTAAGCTAGTACCATGACCGTATTGGTAGCCGTCTCGTCTGAACCTGGCCTTTCCGATGGTCAAGTCCAAGTAGGCCTCTGCGGCTTCTCGATACCTGAAATTCCAAGAACGGATATGCCCAGCAAAAACTGAGGTGTCGATGGCTCAGTTTACTACCCCACTGCAGCAGGTGAATGACCCAGACTCAAACGAAGCACTATAATGCTCAAAACCGTGGGCAAGTGGCAAAGTGGATTGAGATTTTGGTATATCGGCCAAACAAAAAGGCCCAAAAAGAAGGCCGGCAGTTACAGCTCTTCCACACTCGCCACTCTCAGAGTGTCTTGAGCTCCTGACTCTCGATCATCAGCCTTTTTCACAATGTTGTAGATCTTGTCCAGCAACCATTCCTGTAAAGCAGCTGTCCCTCAGTCACACTGTACTTGTATGCCTCCTAGGAGACAACATCCAATGGTGCAGCAAAAACTCGGGGAAGATTAACATGGAACCTGAAAATTGACCTTTGGAAGTAATGGGAAGACTAGCTTCTTCCACAAACCAGTGATTTTCACGTTCCATCTCAATCTTCCCGGGCGTACACTATTTTGTTGGATCTTTTTGGATTTGCCGCGATGTTCCCAACTTCCCCTCCGTCACGTCTACGTCACCGTCACCTCTTCGCCGAGGCATTCCTGAGGTGGCATCTCGCTACCACCTCACAACTCCATCCAACCTAGATCCATCGAACCTAGGCTAACTATCCCTTCCAACACGCACGCCCCGCACGGCCCCGCCCACGACCGGCACCACCCGTCCGGACCTCCATGCGGTACATCCGCAGGCGCTTTTGCAGCGGCCGCACGTCGCGGCGCACTTGGCGATGTGCCGCCACGGCCTTAGAGGAGCTGCCGCCGAGAGGGATCCTTACAATCGTGCCGAACCGGTGAATTGATATAAAGGCATCGCAAAGAAATGTATCCCCCAAAACAGGTAACTGAAAACATAGAAAGGCCTCCTAGTGCCCATATTGCAGTCAAAACATATGTCATGATGATTTATGATCAAAACCAAGTGGTGGTTCTTTCGGATTTAGGTCCCGTAAAGTCTTAAAGCCTTAAAGACTCCCTGATCTTGATCAAACCGGGACCTCATAAATCTCTGAAGACTGCGAAGGTGGGAATCCCCAAAAGAAAGGCCCTAAATAGATCCTATATAATAGATGGAAACACCACTGTGCTCCTTGGGTTCACTTTCTCCGGGATGTCCGCTCCTTTGGTCTCCAAGAAACTGCTTTGGTGGCTGCTGTCTTCTTCTGCTCATCCGGCAACTCGGCAAGTTCCTGTTCGGGACCAGCTTTTAGAATGGGCGGCAGTTCTGAAGGTCACTATCAACACACTTAGCTGCCTTCTTGGTTTGAAACTATGCAGGGTCGAGCAAGTTCTAATGCAATGGCTAGTTGCCGTGGATCCTCACCCTGATTCCTCATGTATTGGCTGGAGAGAATACCAAGGCCCAACAAAATTATTCACAAAGGCTTTCTGAGCAGGACACAACCCTGAAGTAAGGGGTCAAAGGTGGAGAGGATGATCTTATTGCTCAGGTCGCCATCTTAGATTTTCCGTCTGGAAAACTATGGAGCATTTCTGTTTAGCAGCCTTTCCAAGATCATTTTTTGAACTCTACCATGTTCCATGTATACATATATATGCAGTATACTGTACATTGCCATAGATTGAATTGCTTTTGGAACATGTTCATCTGAAGTATGTCAAGCGAGGGGAGGAACATCTGCCTGTTCACCAACGAAAGGACTGCACCCGAGTCGACTCAAGACTCATGAGGTGGTCGGTCACCTCCAGCTGTAGATCATGTCTCTGCCCGGCCTCAATTTTAAGAGATTATACTCACTCTATCTCGCTCTCAAGTACAGTGAAAGCGGCCAAGCGGGACTATGTCCAATCCAGCACCAACCGACGTGCGCCCTGTTTGGTGCCGAACAGCCATCCCAGTTCCCCGGGCAGTTGTCACACCGAGTGAGGCAGTTTCTCCTCAACCAATAAAAATGCAGCAAAGCCGACTCGTTGGAGAAGAAAACAATTGTCTTTGTCTGGTCCCTCGCTTGAAGGTTAAATTAAACCAAACCACTCAACGGTGAGCCTCTCAATTGAGGCCACTTAAAGTTTGGAAGTCTACATAGTCGATAAGCGAAGGGGGTCCATGAACACCTGGTGGATAGGACCTTTCCTGTCCACGCTGATCCCGCTTCAATGCATTCAGGAAGTCAGCTTCACCTGTAAGTATGAAAGGGATGTGCAGTTCCGGCATTCCACAAAATTCAGCGAAATGGATCGTGCAAACCTAGCCGCTACCAACACTTATCATAGAAAAGCAGCCTCAAAATGAAGAGAAACTGCCACTGTTCCGTGTTGCCAAATGACTCAGGTGGTCAAAGGATTCTGCGCATCGCCAAAACTGGGCCACAGATTTCGTGACGAACTCGGCGGTTGGCTGATCGGGGCAAAGGCTGATCTAGACTTAATAGCACTCACAACGATGGCCGGTTCTGAAAACTACCCCGATTCCCTAAAAATGTGCCCCGCCAGAAAGGCAGCGTAATTTGAATGGTCATGCCAAAGGCCACCCTGTTCGACCTCCCTTTTAGCTGCCCTATGTGCATCAACAAAATATTCTAATATGTCTTTATCACAAACGCGCCGCTTTCCATCAGGGAAGCCGTTTGTACAATTTTGTACAAACAAGGCCTATGAAGGTCTGGCGCTCCCTTGCAATGACAGTCTCGCCAGTCTCCTCTATAGAGCCTATGAACTCTTGTAGGATTGCTACGTTTTAGTGCTTCCCAAAGCCAGTTAGAGTCTATAGTGTTGTGACAATGCCTGAACACCAATTGTCATTTGGGGGCGACCGAACAGGTGGGCCATAAATTCTCTTGATGGTGGTCGGCACACAAAGGTATCATGCAAAGCCAAACTTCTGCAGTCAGGCTCATGACCCTGCATATTCATCAATGATACTCCCAAGCATCAGACAAGGTTAAATAAAACTGATGCTGGAGAGCGCGAACTAACCAGGGGGTGGTCACTCTCCCCCAGTTTCTTTCCAAAAAATCCAGGAGGCGGTCTGCTTCCCCCTA